TGAGTATTAGAAGGAAAACATAATTCTTTAGAGTGAGGTGTGTTTGTAGGACCTTGTGTTAACTTTATCTTTAGTTCCCTTTCCACGGGACATGAGCTCTGGCTACTTTTTCAGTGGACCCTCTGTCTGAATTTTGGATTTTCAAAAAATCTGAAACCAGATGAATTTACCCTGGCCTCTGCATTTCAGATGGGAAAATGCCATTATCAGTTGATAGCTCTGTCCAAGATCTCTGATGCTGAGACCTCCTGGGGACCCTATTCAGACTCTTACCATGACTGAAAACCACGTTCCCCCTGCTCTTTATTTTCTCCCCAAAATTTCTGCCTGTATTCACCACTGATTACGTTGCAGCTTCCAGCAGATCAGGATAAGTAGATGATGCTGCACAGACAGACTAAGCAATACTCAAGGACTTTAGACAATCTGCTTTTTCCAGCCCCTGTACCTGTTTCCCTCTAGCTCACACACGTATTTCACCACTGGAGTCCAGTCAAATGCTTCTGGCTCATTCTTCAGCCATTTCTCCAGTTCCCGGAGGTTCCAATCTGTATAGTCTGAAGCAATGATCTCCTTAAAGGATTCGCAGGTGGAGAGGAGCTGGTGGATGGTGGGGCCACTGCCAATATCAATCAGGGTGTCGCCTTTCACCACACCTGGTTCAGAGTACAGAATTCCTGGAGCTCATTGCATCTTAACCAGACAAAATGCAACTTCGTCTCAATTAAACTTAGTTGATTTAGTTTAATACGTCTAGCGTTAATCTTGCTTCCATTGAAGACAATGGCCAAACGCCTGGTGACTTCAGTGTTACAAAGCGTTGGCTGCAAGTCCTCAATGCTTCTTGAGATGCAAATTAGCATCAGATACCCTCTTTATTGCACTTACATTTCTATTCAGTTTTAGTTTTTCTGTAATGTAAGATCCTCTAAGCTTATTACCAGTCCCCATGAGCCAAGCAATTCCCCCTTACAAGTTACTGAATTTAAGGACAATCCCCAGGATTACGTATGTATCTATATGGTTACAGTAATAGTTAATACTAGAAAAATACAGTATGATGCAATATCTCTGGCCCTTGCAATCCAACAGCTTTGTAAACAGAATTTAAATTTGCATCACATCTACTTCGTAGTAAGGGATGCAAGTATATTTAAAAATTTAACTGCAGGGGTGATTTTTCAACAGAGTTGGAGCTCTTCATAAAAGACCTCATTTCCGCTCCCAGGAGAAGGCTAAGGGGAAATTTGCTAGATAATAATGAATAATAACTAAATTTTCTGTCTAATGCTTTACGTTTGTACAGCTCCAGGCGCTCTGAACCGGAACACTAATGTCATTATCCCTGTTTTACAAATGAAGCACAGATCAGTGATGTGACTTGCCCGGGGTCAATGGGAAGGTCAGTGTCAGGCTTGAGAACAGAACCCAGGTGTCCTGAGTCTCAGTCCATGGCCGTAGTGCATGGATGCTTGCAGAAAGGGGAGGATGGGAAAAGCTTTCTGAGGACCTGTGGTACTTCCAAAGGCTGAACAATAATATTTAGCCTATTTAATGGGGCTTTTTATCTAGACACACTAGTTGACGGGTCCTCAGCCCCCCTGTGCCGCAAGGTGAGTGTTGATGAACTGCCCTAGCATGTTTCTTGCACATCAGATAGGCGTGACCATGGAAACCAAATAACTAATGCATATTACAGGATACTTCACCACAACCCAGGCCAAAAGATGCCACGACAATAACCTGGTTTCTAATGTCCCAGACAAGCATAGACGCGGGAATCAGGGGTGCGGGAGGTGTTGCAGCACCCTCAGGTTTTACGCTGGGCTCTGCTCCCGGCCCTGCACATGGTGTCCCAGCCGTCAGACCCGAGCCGGGGCTCTGCTTCTGGCCCCCAGCAGGCTCCCGGCGCGCGCCTGGGTTCCCAGCTGCCAGCCCAGCCTCGTTCCCCTTACCCTGTTCGGGTCCACCCCTCCCGGAGACACGGCTCTGCTCCCAGCCCCAGCTCTTGGGTGGGGCATGGACTGGGGAAGGGGGTTCCTTTCAGCTCCCCCACTATTAAAAATGTTCCAGCGCCACGGCAGAGAAGGATAGACAAGCCAGGGATGAGTCCCAGATCCCACCAACAGGCCATACCTGAAGTGAAGGTGTTACAATAATGTTTCAGGGCAAAGTTAAGATATTCCTCTCCCAAGGTGTCTTCTCCAAATTTAAAATATCCGAGATAGGCCTTTGGATCAAACTCTGCCTGGTAATCGTCTCCTCCGGTGAACTCAGCCATGGTGCTCGCTCTGAGTCTGCACATAAACTGTGCTGGTTTTCCTAGGGTCCCCTACCCACAGTGAGCTGCCCCTGGTGACGCACTCTCTGAACGCTGCCTTTTAACACTTTCATGGGTCTGCAAGAAGAGTGCAGCTGTGGAACTCAGCCCCTACGGCCTTTAACGTTAGATGTACAACTTGGTGTTGCTTAAAAACTTTTTTTCTTACTCTCATTTGCTTTTCACAACTCCAGGGCAGATTACAGGTCCCGAAGGGAATCCCAGGCTGGAAGCTGATATCAAGTTCTATAAATAGTTCATAGCATTAGGCCAGCCTCTGCCCTTCTAGAGCTCAAAAGCAGATACTTGCATAGTGAGAGGGCTCTGAGATTAGGCCAAGGTCCTGTCACAGACTACAGGCTCCCACGGAGCCGCTGCTATCATTTTTGGTGATGCGTGATGGATCCCCAAGAATGCATCTGCCAAATGCGCAGTAATGGTATCTGCAACATCTTTGCATCTGTTTTAGCTGTATTCTGCAGCGGTGGGAGGTGTACATTGGCTGTGATTGTCCCCTTTTGGGGAGCGAAAAAGTGTAGTGGTATTTCACTCAACTTTCCTTTTACATTCAGCATTGAGACTCTGCTTTAGAGGGTTTTCAGGAGAGAATTTAGATCCTTTCACTTGTGTCCCTTAAGAGAAGAGAGGACTGACTCAGGGTCTGTCTACACAGGGATAAAAGACCTGCGGCATGGCCATGGCTGCTCTGGTTCCAGAGCTCGGGCTCCAGTCCAAGCCCAAATGTCTATGCAGCAATTTTTCAGCCCCGGAAACCAATCCCCACGAGCCCTGGTCAGCTGACCTGGGCCAGCCTCAGGTTTTTTATCCCTGTGTAGACATAGTGATATAGTTTAAATCCAAATATATTAACCTGTAAATCTCCTTCTGCAAAGGTAATAGTAAGACCCGGAACCACAGATTATTGCATATGGGAAACAGATCTTTATTAGACAAGCACCGATTGGGTGGAGATTACAATTATTCACCGAAACAAATCATTCAACCAACACCATGGCCCAATGCAGCTGTCAGGCCCCAGCCAATCAGTTCAAACGGTTCAATGTTCAAATCACAGCGAGGTTAAAGCCAGTATTGAGGACGATGTGTACAGTGTGAGCCATGCTCTCAATGCCGGGAGACAAGACTCCCACATAGGCAGGATGGCTGCCCCATGGAGCTTACAGTCTAATGCAGATGCATAGAAAGGCACAAAGCTAAACACGTGACATGGGAGCGAGTTGCAAAATTTGAGGTAAGAAAGGAATAGCTCAACCCATTATCAAATGGAGCTATTTGCAGAATTTGTATCTAGAGGCAGCTCAGGGGCAGAACCTCTGTTCCTAAATGTCTGGGGTGGTTGGGCCTGTAGATGTGTTTTGATCCTCTTTCTAAACCCCATCCACCAATGATTCCAAACCCAGCACTTATTGGGCCCAGTCCTGCACCACTGAAGCCAATGGGAGTTTTGCCCCTGACTACTGGGAGCAGGCTCCAGTCCATTAGCAGTGAGAAGAGATTTATATGATTCATTATGTAATTATTATTAGCTGCACAGCTGCAGTATGGCCGAGGCAAAACATGGGAAGAGCAGGGAGAGGATGAAGCCCAGTGCGGTGCAGCTACACTGGATGAAGCAAAGTGGAGTGGTTGGAGGCCAGGGAGACATTATGGCAGCTCTGAGTGGGAAAGAACGGGGATGAGGGCAGCTTTAGTGGCACAACAAGGGGTTCAAGCTAGTGCATCCTAAACAAACAGGTTCTCCAAAGTTCTTGGAGGTCATCAAAGCTCCACAGAGCACATTGATCTTCAGGTCTACCAGCATCTACAGCTAATCTATTCTGCCTCTCTACTTGCATTGGGCTGATGTATTTTCTCTTTAATCTTCTTTGCCCTTCCCTTTGGAAGCAACTAGGTAAGAGATCCCCTCATGCTCTACCAAACTAGCTGGATAGCATATGGGAGTCACCTCAAACTG